CTGATGCGGCCTCCCCAGTCAGCTTCACTTTATGGAGCGAGAATCTTTTCTTAAAATTCTTGAACCAACCTTTACTGGCACTAAAAGCTAGTTCAGTCACTGCACTAGCCCCTTCACCACCTGTTGTCTCGTAAGAATGAGCGTAAAGACTTTTAGCCTTTTCACGAATCACGTTGCTGGTCCTCAATCCAAATATTCAGTGCTTTCTCAGTTTTCACTATGTTCTTGTCACGAACAACCTGCGCCACTTTAGCACTTGCACACTCGCTTGAACAAAATCACGAATTGTTTGTTCTTTCTTTCATGTGTACCGCACTGTGGATTCTTTCACACCAAACAACTGACCAACAGCGGCAGCACTCATCCCCTCTTTTAACTTGTCTAATAATTCAATTTTCTTTGTCAGGGCCATCACTGACTTTTGCCTTTTATGTTTCACCCCACTAGCATCACTAGCACTGACACTAGGCTGTCTTTTCAGGGCCATTTTCACAAAGAAACTCAAAAGTTTTGAGAATATGACACGGGATGCTAGGTCACGGGTACTGGGTGAGGACAAGCAGAACGATATGAGACGCCGCGGGCGCGTTGGGTGACTCGTTGTGCTGAGGGAGAAGGTTCGCATGCTAGCCACCTGCTTACCACAAATAGTCGAAATCGCGAATCGTAAACCCGCGAATGGGAAGGGTCTACTGTGCATCTAAAATCACTTAACTTAAGAGAAATGAAGAAATAGAATGATAAAATACAGTAAATGAAAGTAAAAAAAAGTCATCAGGTAAATAAAATCCTGTAAATTTCAAGTTTAACCTTGTTCGTGTCGGCGTTCATTCGTAAGTCGGACGTCTGTAAGTCAAGGACCCCCTGTATAGCAAATGTTATTATAGAGAGGTAGCACTGGAATATGAGGAGCAGTTCATTATATAGAAGTTAGTATAGAGAGGTAATGCTGGAATATGAGCAGCAGTTCATTATATAGAAGTTAGTATAGAGAGGTAATGCTGGAATATGAGCAGCAGTTCATTATATAGAAGTTAGTATGGAGAGGTAATGCTGGAATATGAGCAGCAGTTCATTATATAGAAGTTAGTATAGAGAGGTAATGCTGGAATATGAGCAGCAGTTCATTATATAGAAGTTAGTATAGAGAGGTAATGCTGGAATGTGAGGAGCAGTTCATTATATAGAAGTTAGTATAGAGAGGTAATGCTGGAATATGAGGAGCAGTTCATTACAGTATTACCCCGCTTTACACGGTTTCACTTTCCGCGATTTCTCATTTACGCGGTACCTTGCCAGAACCGGACTTTCACTTTCCGCTGTGCGTCTACTCATAAACGCGTGAAGTATAATTTTTTTTTTATTTAGCTCATAAAATTCATACAAACTACCCGGCCAGAATATAATTTGCATTGCTGGAATTCTTACAATATGATGATCATTTTGAATATAAACATCATGGATTTTGCATTAGACATACAAATTTTAGATCTAATGTAATAATTTGGTTTACACAAAGCAAGTATTTTATCTTTTGTGCAAAATATATGAAGTTTACATTCAAAATATTCCCTGACCTGCAAGGAATCCAGAAATGTCAATTATATTATCCTAACTTTAGTCTGAGGTATTATTTATTACTAAACGTTAAAATCTAGTGTTTCACCCAATCATTTCTCAGAGAGGTAGGGGCCAGTGAGCTGGGAAGAGGGGGGGGGATTTGAGTCCATTATTTGAATGGACATTAACCTGGCGACTGTATTTCTCTTTAATATTAATTGTGTGAGCATACCATCATAAAATTTAGATGTTATTTTTACAACAACATAGGTATTGTGTCGGAAAAAGTGGAGTTTGGGGGTCGGGCCAGTCTCTATTGTAATTAATCCCATATGTTCTGTTGTTCACTTTACGCGGTTTTCACTTTCCGCGGTACCCTGTGGGTTCAATTGACCGCGTAAATCGAGGTACTACTGTATATAGAAGTTAGAATAGAGAGGTAATGCTGGAATATGAGGAGCAGTTCAATTGCCACGAGTCAACCCTCACTTCTGCCGGTTAATGCTTAGCCACAGGGTCCAGCGAAAGAAGTGAAGGCAGCAAGTGAATAACATAACATGGTGTTAATTGAAATAGAGTCAGACGACTAACTCCACTTTTTGTGACACACAACTATATTTGTAGTAAAGAATTTATCTTAACTTTGCAGTGGTATGAAAAAACAAGAAATAATATAGAAGAGGATAGGTTAGAAAATAAGGTTAACATAGGAAAAATAAAGGTTAGGTTAGGAAAACTAAAAGTTGGTGGGGTACTACGTTAGTAGAAAGAGATGGAGTCGGGAATGTGCAGGGATGGAGGCTGGTTTCGAGGCAGAGACGGGCTACACAACCCTCAGGTGAATCACCGACCTGGAGTGCATCACCATCCTGTCACCACAGTTGGCCAGGGCTTCCTGACAAAATCCTCAAAGTCATCTTCACTGTCACTTTCACTGGCTTGGGCTGACTGTGTGGTGGGTTCTTGAGCCCGAAAGAAATCTGTGCTTTGCTGGCGGCTGGTGTTGACTGGTAATGGTGATACACCTTGATGTAGAGACTCCATAGTCTGCAACACCAGCTGGGTGGTGAAAGAGATTTCGCCTGTTTGCGTCAGGGTCGTGGGAAAAGGAGGAGCTTGGCTTTCTCGTCTACTTTCGATGGCACTAACATTACTATGGGATAAGTGTTGTTCTTCTTGGGATGGCCGCACCACCTGCCTCTTCACTGGCGTCGTCATCATCATATACCATCTCCTCGGTAGTCATATCAGGTTCCGTATCACCTCCCGCAGTGTAAATCCGTTGGTCTCGAGAAGCCTGGAACTGTAACACTCACGCCTTCTCTGGCAGGTCCTGCTACCTGCAACGGTGAACCTCCCTGCCAGTCTGATTGACTCACCCTGCCCGGTATTGCCGCTTTGTGTCCACTCCGTGGCGGGTGTATCAATAGACAGCTGATCCCATGCCTCCACCAAAGAAGTCACGGCTTTCTTGATGTTAAATACTCTCCAGAATTGTTTTGAACGGTATTTTTTTTGCTGTGCCAACTGTTGATCCTCATCTTCTTAAGCTCTTGCTATGGGTGGTAGTGTCTGTCAGGTTCATAACTCTTCCCTGGTGTTAGTGTAGTCGTTCAGGAGCTTGAACACCGTAGAGAATACGCTTTACGTACAGATTAACTCTTGAGGGTCCATAAACATAATATAGGCGTAGTGTTGGAGAAGGAAGACCACTTTTTACGTTGGGGTGGCGATCTAACAGTAGAGGCGTGTGTCCTGGTCGTTCAGCAGCAAAAATCTTAGTGCTTTATTCTATGGCTCACAGGAATTTCTTTACATGAGAACAAAAGCAGTCATCAAGCCAGGAGGGACAGTGTAGAGAACATACATGCCTTATGTGCGGTCAGCCAGTGGACTAGCTTGGTCATGTCCATGGTTTTTGTAAGGCGTCTGACGCGCGTGTGGATCACCAATAACCAGGCTACAGGTACTGGGCGTGAATTATGCTGGGCCGGTGATCGCGTTCCTTCTGCATGCCCGGCCCAGTCTTACTGCTGGCATTCTTCTGGCGGTCTTGAAGGTAGCTTTTTTAAGAAAAAGGCCAGATAAGTCCATGTTAAACACGGTTGTCGATTATTACCATCGCCCTCCATAATCTCCGCGTAAGCGGAGGGAAATTCCCTAGCACCGCAACAGGTCAGCATTGCTTCTTCACCACCCACATGTTTATATTAGCGATCTTGTTCGGGATCTTAAGCCTCTGTAGCCACAGAGGAAGCATTAAAGGGTTTGGGCTCTGTAATTCCCATCTTCGTGCCACTGCAATGTGTACAGTTCATGTCGCGTACTCATAGCAGAAGCGGCGTGTCGACCGCCATGTTCCTGCATGCTGGCCCGCGCACAAAGTACCTCATTAATTTTTTGTCTTGAAGCACCTGGTTTTGAAAAGCCCTTTGATCATAGAAGCACCTGTAGACTTTGTGATGTTAGGGCACTTTCATTTATCTTAGCTGCATCCTTCTTTATTGTTGAATTGTAGATTCATTCACACCATGCTGGTCATAAAATCAATCTGTGTTCGCTCTTAACTCTTGGATGATGGTATACCACTTACCTCATAGCTTAAAGACGTCCATGTCTTCTTTAGCCCAGATGCCGCTGGGTCCGGAAGTGAAGGTTTCTCTGGGGAGGCGGTGGTCGGCGGGCCATTTTACAAAATATGGATACACACTTTTACACGGTCTGGCCTGGAGGACTAGGCGGCTTCGTCCAAACTGTCGTCTTTCCTCCTCCTCCTCCCGAGGCGGACCGTCCATAATACTTTAAATGATTACAGCTAGCAGCAGGGGGGCTGGGATGCATGGCCAATCCTCACAGTCGATCGATCATATGGCGTCAGTGATAAACAAGACACACCTGCACTTATGCTGCAGCCTTGGCTTGCCCAGGCAGGAGGGAGGGGGGAGGAGGGAGAGGCGAGAGCACAGGCAGGCAGGCGGGTGGGGCGAATCTAAAAATAGCATCGCGCCGGACACTCTCCGCGTAATGGGGTTCGTGCACCGCGTAATGTGAGCACGTTAGGTTCTGGCAGGGCACCTCGTTAACGTGGAAACGCGGAATGTGGGACCGCGTAAAGCGAGGGTTGGCTGTATAGAAGTTAGTATAGAGAGGTAATGCTGGAATGTGAGGAGCAGTTCATTATATAGAAGTTAGTATAGAGAGGTAATGCTGGAATATGAGCAGCAGTTCATTATATAGAAGTTAGTATAGAGAGGTAATGCTGGAATATGAGCAGCAGTTCATTATATAGAAGTTAGTATAGAGAGGTAACGCTGGAATATGAGGAGCATTTCGCTATAGAGAGGAAGTACTGTAATTCATTTTTGTAATACTGTATGAGAATACTGTGTACTGTACTGTACAGTATATTCTTTGTGCTCACTATTTTTCTCTCCCATCAGCTCCAACTAATGAGCCACGTCAAGTGTATATAAAAGCAAAGAAAGTGAAAAGTACCCAGGAAAGTGTGCCAATAACTGTGACCAAGCATGATATGGATATACCCTCACCCTCCACAGTTCTCTCTGCCCTTAAGGTAAGCCATGTACAGTACTGTAATGATACTAATTTATTACTTTCTTCATGTATGGTGCAGCTACTGGTGCATCATATTTTTAAATTCGTGCCTAATGTTTCTCTGGGCACGCTACACTGTCTTAATGGCAAAGCTGTACTGTACATGTACTCAAAATAATGTATTAAATGATTACTAAAATTTTTGTCTAGTGCAAACTGTAGCATGATTATATTCAAATTAATCACTATCATAAGAATTCCAGCAATGTAAATTATATTTTCCCCGGTCACTTCTGTGACATTTTATAAACAAAAAACAAAAACTCAATCTAAAGGACATAAATAAACAAATAAATACCTTCGGCCCCAACAGTCAAACATGTCACTGCCACCTCCCCTTCCCCCCTCCCTCTCACCCAAGGTTTTGTGGTTATACAGTAGGCTTTAAGTTTTTATCTTATATAATATCACAGACTAAAGTTAGGAGAATATAATTTGCATCGCTAGAATCCTTGCAAGACAGCGAATAATTTGAATATAAACGTCATATATTTTGCACAAACTATAAAATTTTTAGCCATTTGTAATTAGAACTAAAATTTGTATGTCTAATGTAAACTATAGCTGTTTATATTCAAATTAATCACTATCTTATAAGAATTCCAGCCATGTTAATTATATTCTCCCAAGTCAGTTTAGTGATATTTTATAAGAGAAAACCTTAGTCACTTTTAAGGACAGATAAATAAATAAGCACTAGACCTTGGCATCAACTGTCAAAAATATCACCTCACCTCCCTCCCCCCACCATCTTCCCAGGCAGTAAACAGGCCATTTTGCATCCCTTAATTTTAGCTGTGTTGATTTATGAGTGTTTCTTTTAACATAATACTACAAAACACTATGTTTTGTTTATTCTAGAAGATGGGCTGAGGTGCATCTGGGTAGACTGTCAGTCTTTTTAGTATTTTGTGTTTCTCTCTAGTACCAAACTAAATTATTCCATTGAAACAACACTTTGATTTAGTGTGAATTCGGTTTAAAGCGACCTCTCTTCGAACGTATCCATTGTTTCAATGGGATATTGGGTAATTGGTTCCAGCTCACCGAAAAGTACATACAAAGTATAAAAAAAATGCAGTAAAGTACACTTATCTTCAGGTTATGTTATTCACTTTATGTTATTCACTTTACGCGTTTCTCACTTTCCGCGGTACCCTGTGGGTTACATTAACCGCGTAAAGTGAGGGTTGACTGTAATTGGTTCTCCAGCTCACAGAAAAGTACATACAAAGTAAAAAAAAATGCAGTAAAGTACAGGGTATACTTTCTTTGAGGTGTGTATGTAGAAGGTTCCTGATTGATGATGATGATGAGAATTAGAAGTGGGGGTGGAGGAGAATGGAGAAGAGAAGGAAGAGGGGATGGAGGAGAAATCACCTTTCAGGGGACCCATGCCTGATGCCGTATTTCACCCATAAAATTTTAAGTTCACTCGGTGTAATTCAAGATTATTTTCTTTAAATCAACACTGCACTGCAGTATATATTATCAATATGTTAACTAAATTTCAGAATAACCAATAATTTCAATGAAAAATGATAAAATATTCAAGACACCAACAAAATAGATGTTCACTCCACTGTCAACAAAGCAACACTGACTCATTGTGGCTGAGTCAAGCTGCTGATAGGCGCACAAAAAGCTAGTTCACTGACCCAAATTGGGGCCTGAGGGGCAAAAATTTAATACTCCTGTGATAATAATAATAATAATTCAGATAAAAAAAAGAAAAGAAAAAAAAAGCTGCCTATCTACCTATTGGGCAAACTAAAATCGTTCTGGACCATGGGAGTTTCCGGACCACAGAATGCCGGACTAGAGAGGTACTATATATATATATCAGCATATATATCAGCATATATATATATATATATATATATATATATATATATATATATATATATATATATATATATATATATATATATATATATATATATATATATATATATATATATATATATATATATATATATATATATATATATATATATATATATATATATATATATATATATATATATATATATATATATATATATATATATATATATATATATATATATATATATATATATATATATATATATATATATATATATATATATATATATATATATATATATATATATATATATATATATATATATATATATATATATATATATATATATATATATATATATATATATATATATATATATATATATATATATATATATATATATATATATATATATATATATTTATATATATATATATATATATTTATATATATATATATATCTATATCTATTTATATATATATATATATATCTATTTATATATATATATATATCTATTTATATATATATATACAGTTGTACCCCACTTAACGCAGTCAATTGAACCCAGAGGGTCCCACGTTAAGTGAAAACCGTGTTAAGTGAATAACAGAACATATGGGATTAATTCCAATAGAACCCAGCCCGACCCCCAAACTCCACTTTTTGACGACAAATAACTATGTTGTAGTAAAAATAACATCTTAATTTTATGATGGTACATGCACACAATTAATACTTAAGAGAAATACAGTTGCCAAGTTAATGTCCATTCAAATAATGGACTCAACTCCCTCCCCCTCTCACACTACAGTACACAGCCAGCTAACAGATGGTCGGTCGGTCCCTCCCTCCCCCCCCCACCCCCCACCAACCGTCCCAAGGAGATGTGTGGGATAACCTCAAACTAAAGTTAGGAAAATATAATTGACATTGCTGGATTCCTTGTAAGACCAGGAATATTTTGAATATAAATGTCATATATTTTTCACAAAAGATAACATACTTACTCAGATTAAACATTTTATCTAAAAATTGTATGTTTAATGCAAAAAATATGTTGTTTATATTCAAAACGATCACCAAATTATAAGAATTCCAGCAATGTAAATTATATTCTGGCCGGATAATTTGTATGAATTTTATGAGCTAAAACAAATATCTACAGTTAATAAAAAAAAAAATATATTCTTCAACACTATCTGTCAATCAAAGTACCCCACCTTGCCTCCCCCCCTCTTCCAACCGCGGGGTCAGTCCCAACCCTCCCCCCACCCCCCACCAATCCTCCATTCAGTATTAAATAATACCTCAGATTAAAGTTAGGATAATATAATTGACATTGCTGGATTCCTTGTAAGACCAGGAATATTTTGAATATAAATGTCATATATTTTGGACAAAAGATAACATACTTACTCAGATTAAACATTTTATCTAAAATTGTATGTTTAATGCAAAAAATATGTTGTTTATATTCAAAATGATCACCAAATTATAAGAATTCCAGCAATGTAAATTATATTCTGACCGGGTAATTTGTATGAATTTTATGAGCTAAAACAAATATCTTCAGTTAAAAAAAAATAATTCTTCACCAGGTAACAGATGGTCGGTCGGTTGGTCCCTCCCTCCCCCCCACCCCCCACCAACCGTCCCAAGGAGATGTGTGGGATAACCACTAAATTTTAATAAATAATACCTCAAACTAAAGTTAGGATAATATAATTGACATTGCTGGATTCCTTGTAAGACCAGGAATATTTTGAATATAAATGTCATATATTTTGGACAAAAGATAACATACTTACTCAGATTAACATTTTATCTAAAAATTGTATGTTTAATGCAAAAAATATGTTGTTTATATTCAAAATGATCACCAAATTATAAGAATTCCAGCAATGTAAACTATATTCTGGCTGGGTAATTTGTATGAATTTTATGAGCTAAAACAGGCAGTCAGGCAGGGTGGTGGGTGGGGGGTGGTGCGAATCTAAAAATAGCTCTCGAGCCGGACACTCACCGCGTTGCTGTGGAAAAATCCGCGTTAAGTGAAAGTTCAGCTTTGGCAAGGCACCGCGTATATGCGAAAACGCGTTAAGTGAAAGCGCGTTAAGCGGGGTATATATATATATATATATATATATATATATATATATATATATATATATATATATATATATATATATATATATATATATATATATATATATATATATATATATATATACATTGGCCCCTCGGTTAACGAACTCAATCCGTTCCAAAAGGTCGTTCGTTAACCGAAACCATTGTTTCAATGGGTTTTTGGGTAATTGGTTCCAGCTCACCGAAAATTTCCTAACTTCAACAAAAATGGCGGAAAAATTTACTTACTTTGAGGTGTGTATGTAGAAGGGTCCTGGATGATGGTGATGATGTGCATTTGAAGTGGGAGGTGCAGGAGGAGAAGGGAGAAGAGAAGGAAGTGGAGGTGGAGGAGAAGCATTTTACTGCTTCTTGGAAGGTGAGTCACCTTCCATGAAAATGTCAGGAACCTCTGGACTGACAGATTCTCCACCATGAACATCCTCTCTCCTTCTTGAAGTGGAAGGCTGAGGGCTAGCATCTTGTTCCCTCTGCCTTTTACTGAAAGTGTCAATTGTGGTCTGTGGGGCATCTGTCCTCCTCACCATTAACTTATGTTTAAAGAAGGAGACCACTGAGTCCTCAACATGACACAAAGTTAGTTCAGTTTTTTCCACTTCTGGGTGCTTTGAAGCCAGTTCCCTGAACTTCTCCCAGTGGTAAATCACATCTTTCAACTGTTTAGCTGACATATGGTCATCACTTTCAATATCCTCCTCACCACTGTCAGCCTCTACCTGTAACATCTCATCCAGTTGCTTCAAGTTATCAGGAGTAAGTTCCTCCTCATGAGACATCACAAGCTCTTCCACATCCTCCTCCTCCACTTCCAGGCCCAATGACTGACCAATGGACACAATCTCCTTGTCCAACTCTGTTTCTTCCTCAAATCCCTCAAAATCATGGACTACTGATGGCCACAGTGCTTTCCATGAAGAATTGAGGGATCTAGTGGAGACTTCTTGCCATGATGACACAATCAATTTTACAGCCTCCAGGATGT